AAAAGAAATCAGAGGCCTCTCTCATTAGATCAGGATCCAGTGGCAGTCCTCAGAGTCCTTCCTGCCAAGTGTGCCAGCGTTCCACAACACGGCACCTTCCCCACACTTTCCCTTGTGCTAGTACAGGGGGAGGCAAAGGACTCTTTCTGCCTCTATCTGAGGTCATTAAATTCTCCCATATCCAGTAGGGAATTTCACTCACAGCAGCCTCCTGAATGACATCAAGACCTTGAGAGAAATGTAAAATGGGAGATAATGTACACAATCTGGGTAAGAAGTTAAGAGTTAGGTTTTAGATACAGTAGTTATCTGCATTGAAATAAACAGAGAAAGGGAAATAAATGAATTCTCTGGAAGAGAAGGTGTAATATAGAAAGAAAAAACAATGAGTATTTTAACTTTTAAGGAAGTCATTCAATTTAAGTTTTCAATAAAAAATCAGTTTTTTGATGAGTGGATTTTAGGTAAAGATCTCCTAGTCAAATTTCCCCACACTGAGGGCTTTTGAAAATTCATCACTGGAAGTCAAATACAGACTGCCTTTTTTTTTTTTTTAAACACACATGCCCAGACACCCACAGTCCAATTAATAATCAGACACGCACTGATTTTGTATGATCCGGTCGTGGGGCAATAACAGGAGGGGCAGCCTCTTCATCATCATCATCTTCCTCTGTTACTATTGCTGATGTTTCTGACCCCTTGGTATTCAGCTGTATTAATCACATGAGCAAAGTAAGGAAGATACATCAAATACAACAATATGTTAAAATAGGACTCTCTTTTTAACATACTTGAAAAAATATATTTCTTTAACACCTCATTTCAAAATGGTAAAACCTCACTGGTTCTAATATAATCACTTAAAGAGTAAAGGCAATTCTATAACTTACAGAAATTGAGTTTATGAAATAAATGTTTACAGTAAATATCAAGTTTTCTTAAAAGAAAATTTATACCTTTTATATGAAGAATTTTACACCCTTTAAACAAGTCCTAAAAGGAAATAATCACTTTATTTGTTAAGACCAAAAACAAAGATCCTCTAGGCTTTACATAAGTCAGAGTCATTTTTGGTCATTTTAAACAGCCAGATTATCACCATAAAAAATGGTGGCTAATCAAATAAAGGAAGACGATAACCTTTATACAGAGTTTATTATTATATGCCAGATATGTGCTAAGTAGGTACTTTACATATTACCTCATTTAGTCTTCATAACTCTAGGAGACTGTTTCTTCCCAATTGAGGAAATTCTATTTACTTAATATGGCTTCCTTATTTGCTTAATCAAGCATCTAGCTTAAAACATATTTAAAATAATAAATAAATAAATAAATAAATAAATAAATAAATAAATAAATAAATAAGACATGTTAAGTAGTTCTTTTTTTTCTGGTGGCTGTAGTTTATTTTAGAAAGCAAAATAAAAACTGAGATTTGTTTTTGGTAACTTAAGTTAGAAAAAGAGTTACAAGAAGTAACGTATTAACTTACTCCTGGTGTTCCAGAAGGGAAGCCATCTTTCTCTGAATGTGGAACAGAAAATAATGCTAAGTCAACAAACTCAAAAAATAAAACAACTTCTATATAATAAAGGAAGAAAATACAAAGCAGAGCAAGTAAAATGTTCTTAGACTGATTTCAAGTTGAATTAAGTCTTCAGAAAAATGACAGTATCAATATTCAAATAAGAATTTACACAAGATTGTGCTAAAAAAATCTCAAATCTTAATGGAACTGTAAATTTACTAAAAATCACTGATGTATATACTTCAAATGGGTGAATTTTATAGCATGTGAACTATGATTTTAATAAAGTTGTTAAAAACATATCTGAAACTAAACTTGTCAAAGTGTAATTAAAATAAAACAAATTTATTCATAGCAATACTTTCCTCAGTAAACTATCAGAAACTTAAAGCTACTATTCAGACAATGGCAGTTGTACAAAGGGAAATTTTTTTTTTTAATGTTTTTTTTACTATCCTTGAGAGAGAGAGAGAGAGACAGAGAGAGAGAGACAGAGAGAGAGAGAGAGAGAGAGACAGAGCACGAGTGGGGGAGGGGCAGAGTGGGACAGAGACACAGAATCTGAAACTGCTCCAGGCTCTGAGCTGCAAGCACAGAGCCAACACGGGGCTCGAACCCACAAACCATGAGAACAGGATCTGAGCGGAAGTTGGAGGCTCAACCAACTGAGCCACCCAGGCACCCCAAGGAAAATTCTTTTTTTAATGTTTATTTATTTTTGAGACAGAGGGAGAGAGACAGAATGAGCAGGGGAGAGGCAGAAAGACAGGGAGACAAAGATTCAAAGCAGGCTTCAGGCTCTGAGCTGTCAGCACAGAGCCCCACTCGGGGGCTTGAACTCACCAGCTCCAAGATCATGACCTGAGTGGAAGTTAGACGCTTAACTGACTGAGCCACCCAGGTGCCCCAGGAATATGCTTTCTTTTTGATCAAAATTTATGTCAAGAATTTTCCTTTGGGGCGCCTGGGTGGCTTAGTTGGTTAAACCTCTGATTTCAGCTCAGGTCATGATCTCACGGCTCATGTGTTGATCTGTGCTAACAGCTCAGAGCCTGGAAACTGCTTCTGATTCTGTCTCCATCTCTCTCTGCCTCTCCCCCGCTCATGCATGGTTTCTTTCTCTCTCTCTCTCTCTCAAATATAAATAAACATTAAAAAAAAATTTTTTTTTAAAATGAGAAAGCATATTCCTGAAGGCAAAACACAGTTCATTGACATTAAATGTCAAGGGGCGCCTGGGTGGCGCAGTCGGTTAAGCGTCCGACTTCAGCCAGGTCACGATCTCGCGGTCCGTGAGTTCGAGCCCCGCGTCAGGCTCTGGGCTGATGGCTCAGAGCCTGGAGCCTGTTTCTGATTCTGTGTCTCCCTCTCTCTCTGCCCCTCCCCCGTTCATGCTCTGTCTCTCTCTGTCCCAAAAAAAATAAATAAACGTTAAAAAAAAAAAAACAAAAAAACATTAAATGTCAAAATATTCATTCTGGAGTTTAGAAAAGCAAGTTTTGTTTTGTTTTACTTTTCAAAAGGCCCAGGGAAATTTACATTTTTTATACATATGCATATGTAATAATATATAATAATATGTGAGCACATTATGCATATATTAACATGTTATTTAACATATATTAATATATTACCATTATAAATTAACATAATATACAAAACATACTTATATATTATATAAATAAGTGTAACTTATAAATGTGATTATATTAAAGGTATATATTTAACGTGACTTTAACATATATTAAAGATATATATAGGGTGAAAAGAATATACCATTTTCTGGTCAAACACTGATTTAAAAAAATACTAATTTACACAGACTTACTAGCTGACACAAAAGTTCCAGGGACAAGTCTGACCTTTTGCTAAGGATAAAAAGGTCGAGATCTAGGTAAAAAAGTCAAGATCATTTGGCCAAGTGGTCTCTATTTCTTCCTTGAACATAGCCCTTATTTCTGTGAAAATGCAATCAAATTAAGTACAATTAATTAAAACTACATGGGTGAATTTTAGCTCAATCATGTTTTTAAAAAGTACATATATGGAGGTGCCTGGGTGGCTCAGTCAGCTAAGCGTCTGACTTTGTCTCAGGTCATAATCTCTTGGTTTGTGAGTTTAAGCCCTGCGTCGGGCTCTGTGCTGAGATGACAGCTCAGAGCCTGGACTCTGCGCTTCAGATTCTGTGTCTCCCTCTCTCTCGGCCCCTCCCCCATTTGCATTCTGTCTGTCTCTCTCAAAAATAAATAAAACATTAAAAAAAATTTTTTTAAATTAAAAAAATTTTAAAAAGTACATGTATGACTTTAGGGGTCAGAGAAACATATTAAATGACTCCCTGGGGATGTAATTAGCAAAATCCATTGGAGGAAATAGGACCCATGATCCTGTTTCTTCAACAAATAAAATGCAAGGAAAAGAGAATCTAAGAATAAGTGTGAAGAAGCCTAAATATCGAAAGAGATTCAAAAGATACAGTGATGTATGGACTTTATTCTGATCCTGATCTGAACAAATAAACTATTTTTAAAAATCCACTATACTCCAATTCTTACCAAATGATTTTAATTCCAAGGTATAAAATCTTTAAGTTCTAATGCTTATTTTATATTCATGTATTTTTGAACCAATTTCAAATTTTTGAATGACTTAAACATTTTTTTACTTCATAGTCTGTGTGTTTAATATAGGAAAACAACCCTCCTCCTGTCCCACTGACAATAAACATATTTCTAGTATGAACATGCCTATAAATCAGCATCTTTCTCTTCTACTGCTGGGAGTCATTCAAAAGCAGTGACAAGAAAAAACAAACAATAGGCCAAAACATCCACTTTTGTCAAAACTAAGAGAATAGCATACTCCCCAGACTCCAAATTATGCATGAGAGCTGCTCCAATCAGTTTACAAAAGGCAGTTCTAGAGCAGGGGAAAAAGTAGAGACAAGAACCATAGCTTAGGTTTTTATTTTTCCAGAAGCAATCTTTTTATCTAGGTGTGCTTCAAAATTCTGCAATCCCATTTGAATCAGCCTTTTACCATTGCTGGACATCTTACCAGGAGGAGTAAAGCTCAGATATTTCTGCTTCACCGTGTTGGAGTCATAGAACTTTAAGACATCCAGCACGGCCTGAGGATTCTTCTTTTGCTCTAGTTTGGTGATATTGGAGGTCTGTAATAATCGAGCCCATTGTTCTGGCATGCCCTAACAAAAAAGATATTAAGAAATAAGTTGTTTTGAGTTGCTCTAATAAAATCAACTTCCAGAGGAAAATGACAAGATACATAAAAAACAAGTCAATCTACATAACTGCAGGCCTGACTAAATTGTAGGTCTTATTTTTCTAAAGGTCAATTTTTCTAAATCTATTTTGCATAATTTTAACTAATGAGCTCAGCTCCCTAGAAGAAAGATACATCCAACCACAAACACTTTCATAAGAGAAAAGCACTAAAAGTTCACAGTTAACATGTGGACAGAAAAGTTAACTTGAAACATAAATGATGCAAGGAAAGGCTTAAGTGCAGGGACATAAACGAGTCCCAATCTGGTAAACTTACAGTGAATTCTCCAGTAACTGCATCAAAGCCAACATGAATGGTGTGCTCAAAATCAGATGGAGGAGAAATTTCTGGCCGTTCCTTTTCTTTCTTCTTACTTCCTAGAGGGCATTAAAAAAAGAATCAGTCTATTTAAACAAGATTAATAAAGGTACTCATAATCAGGTTTTCCCCCAAACCAGATTAGGAACAAAGTTATTCTAGAAGAGACTTCCCCTAAAGACACTGGCTGATAGAAAACTGATAAAAGAAGTAAAGTAACCTATTCTGTCATCAAGCAGAGGTGGGGACAACCAGACAATGGCCTAATTAAAGAGGTACAAAGACTGACCCAGCACTGGGCCTGAATAAAAGAGCACAGGGCAGAAGACACAGCCCTTTAGAACACTGGTTCTCATAAAAGCCTACACTTCAGTTCACTGAGCAAACTAGAAAACAATGTCTATTTCCATCAGGCTATCTTCATCCCAAAAGAACTTAATATTATTATGATGGTATAGCCAAAGAGTCTATGCGCATGTCTCTTGTGCAACACTAACCCTTCCTTTTTATAAGGTTAATAACTGTTACATCTTAACACTTTCCAGTGTTTCTGTGGTTGTACCAATTATTTTTGCTACATTTCTGACACACATCAGTAATATTCTCTGTAATTTAGGGCGCTTGGGTGGCTCAGGTGGTTAAGTGTCAGACTTTGGCTCATGTCATGATTTCATGGTTCGTGGTTCAAGCCTCGTGTCAGGCTCTGTGCTGACAGC